TGCGTCAAGGATAATATTTCTTCTCATGTTTAATAGAAACATTCGAATCAGTTGTTTGCAAATATTTTAAATAATCGCCAGAGTAAACAATACTGCTATTGTTCATACTGTGAAAAACATTTTTGGATTTAGGATGACAAGTGGGACAAGCGGATCAATTCAGAGTGAGAATAATAATAATAATAATCGTAGTGATGAGGAAAAGGCACCTAGAGTAACAAATGTCTACCCGTGTACGTTCAAGGCAGAAGTAGAGATTGTACTTACTTCTTTTGTTTACAAAAGCCTGGCTTGAATTCATGAATAGTCAAGGCCTCCGCTGACTTTAGAAGTCTATGACGAAGAAAACGCGGCAAGTTAGCATGGATTCGGTAGATGATCTTAAGATCATGGTCAGGGTTGGTATAACCATGCTGGAATATGTTCTCGTATCCGTGTGGAAGACATTGTTCTCTGGCTACGGCCACTGTACCTTGCTCCACAAGAGCAGGTGAACTGATAGATGCATATGGAGGCGGCCAGACGGGAGAGCATGTCTTTTACAGAGATGGTGAACAACTTGCGTCTGATAAACGTCATTTGTAATTTTGATGCAAAGAACGTCTTACAAATTGCTTTAGAGAGGTAGATTTTGAGCACATTTGAAGCATGATCACCTTTGAGTTTCAAGTTCACGAATAAGGTTGTCTTTAATACTGAGTCGGTGACCAGTTTAGACTGCTTATCTTTCGTGTTACTGTCAATAAATCTGTTCGGGTAACCACTTTCTGCTAGCGTGGTTTTTAAAAAGTCAAGTTCTGAGTAAACGCAATCACAACTACTAATGTTTCTAATCCTAAAGCAGAGCGAATGAATTAGGTTCCTTTTCCTGGAGATAGGCACTCAACTATAAAAATTAGTTAGTTGTCCGTTCCATGTGACTAGACAGAAAATCAAACTACTAATGGGATAAACTTTCGATTTATTAGTGTGAAAGTCAATCTGAACGAACAATATTCTTTTCAATACATCCTTCTCTTCGGGTTCTTACAATTATAAAATCTAATATTTATTGTTGTTACAATAAAGGCCAGTTATACGGCGTATATGTTTTTACGTAGAATAACAGATTAGTTATCTGGTGGCTAAATAAACAGCAGAATTTGTGTGACAAATGTGCTAGGCTGAAATCGATTACAAAATATTATAAAATAGGAGACAATGGTGGTGATTAGTCATAATAGATTTGTGTAGTGTGGGGTAGGAAAATTGACAAGTCAATTCAAGGTTATAAAAGGTGTCAGGTGAGTGAGTGGCTAGTACAAGGTGGTATGTATTAAACAGGAGATAGTAAGACTGCAATGAGAGGTTCATAATGAAATAACGAATGTGTGAAATGAAATAGGTGGAGGCATATATTGAGGAAAGAGATAATATCACTAATATCAAGTCCGGATAGTATAAATGGAAAATTTAATAGTATCGACAGAATGTTTGTATGAAGGGTATAATTTATGACGAATGATAATAATTGTAATAATAAGCAAAGAAAAAGAAAAAAAGCCAAGAGGGATAAGGCACTCTTGGTGAGAAGAATCATTAGTCCAAGTTTGGCCACGTTAGGAACAGCGTCTGGACGTGTTCTTTTTAGATACAAAGTTCCAGTTTATACGATCTTATTGCAATAGCGTCAGTTATGTGTAGGAGATGTAAGCGAACAATACGTGATAACGACTTCGGTATATAACCCTGAAGGCTGTGTTGGCATCATTGCGATGTCCAGTATCGACCAAGTGTGACAGAATCGAGCTTTTTATGCATTCAATTTCCCCCTTGGTGATACCAAGCTGGTAAATATTCTCGAACCTGTCTAATCGTGCGCCCTGTGATTCAAGTACACGGAAGTATTCGAGGCTAATGAACCAGAAATGCACAGGTAGAGTGTGGCAAATTGAGCTTATACGTTAACAAGTACAAATGAGTTTTTTTTACCTGCTTTGAGTTGCATTTGGAGCGTTGGGCTTCATGCTTTTGAAGTTTTTGTACTGGTGCTTTTACAGGGTGGGACTACTAGTCTTACGCCCAACCCTCCCCGATTTCCTGGATTACTACCGCTTATTGAAGGGTTACAATTGTGACGGTCAATAATTGGATCCCGACCTCTTACGTGGCTGGCAAGCGGTTCGCCACTAGACCGCTGACGATACATTCAGTATTTTGTATAAAATCCTCGGTGAACAGTCATCTCTGTTTAATATACGATAGCGATTTCATGCGTCGAACAAGATCTTAGTACGACTCTAAATGTTATCAGTAGAGTTTCAATTCGTACTTGGAGCATGGTAACGCTTTAGTTGAGTACAAATTACAGCGGTCTGATTTTAACGCGGTTAAAACTTCTCAGACTACAGCTAAGGACGCAAAATTTCAGTCACATAAGCCTCCTTCGCTGTGCTGTGGTTCCTGGCTTCTTGTAAAGTTTTTTTCGATTCAAGAAGCATAAATGCTGCGAATGTCATCATTTCCCATCGACATGACACATATTTTGGGAATATCTTTATCAGAGGTAATTTATTTACCTTCACATCTACATCCAGAAGTTTTAAATCGACCTGTTGTCAATGGCTACTCTCTTTCACATTATGAAAAGACCAAAATTTGATAATATATCATTCACTAATTACTGAAATCAGTACACTCGGTTCTACTAATTCACTAATCACCGTGAGCATCACCAGTAGGTTACTGTTCATACATCAGGGTTGGCTGAGTCGATTTTTTTTCTTAAGGTATCACGTATTCAATTGATGAGAGATTAGAGAAGTCAAACAATGTAATGATATTCTGTTCCAGTTGAGTCAGTAGCACAGAGAATGCTCACCAATTACTCACGTGGTCGGGGGTTCGACCTCCATCCGACACTCCTAAACCTCGCTTAACTCGTAATAAGCCCGGCAAAGAGAAAAGGTTGGACGTGAGACTAGCAACCCAAACCCCGTTCAAATAGAAAAAACCCACTGCTATTGAAACTTTAAAGCTCAAACTTGGGAATGCAAAGGAATAAAAATTTTAAAAAATATTTTGTTCTAAAGGAACTATTATCTCTACTTAGTTAGACAGAACAAACATAAATATAATAGCATAGATGGAATAATTTTATTTGGAAAATACCGAAGAAAATCTGGACCACAGTTGCTCTTTAACATATATGCTTCATGCTATAATGATGAGGCTTTATTGATATAAGTATAAGATTTGGGCACTGTGGTAGAGCATAACTCCATTATGGATAAGATTTTATTTTGATAAATCACACAGTGTTGTACAGTTACATTACGTGAATTATAAAATTCAACTCTAAAAGAGATTTTCACTTTAATTCACAAATCCCACACATTATATTCTCAAAATGTTCATTGAGCTAATTTTATATAATTATTCATCTTCCGATTATATTAACTGCCAATTTAACTGCTCCTGTGGAGCCAGTTGCATAGGCCGTACAATTAGGCGTGTTTCTCGTCGAATTTCCGATTATCACCCTGCCTGGTTAAGCAAAGGACAAACAAAATCTATTGGCAGCGCTATTCTATCCCATCTTGTGAAGACAGAACACAAGATTGATGTTAACCATGCTTTCGGGGTCATTTACCACATACCTACGAATTTCAATTTCACCTTAAGCGTTCGACTACTAAATATTGCTGAGGTTGTGGGGATCCATATTAACAAGCCTAATTTATGCATCTAAAAGATAGTTCAGACATTATCATTACCTTGGCCATCTAGGTTTGAATAATCCGGGAGTTTTGTGAAATTTCCCCAATTTTAGTTGACATTCTATTCGCTATTATATCTTTATTATTATTATTATTATTATAATTTAAGCATCTTTAATGAACTGTAATTCCATTGTGATCTTACTTTACACATCGATATTATTTAAAAAAACGCTAATTTTGTTATTAACTACTAATCTAGAATACTCTGTGTATATAAACATATAGATAATTGTAGAGCCAGAGGAGGAATTTATCGAAAAGAATATTCTTTACTTGATTATTTTGTGTTTTATAGATGTCTGAATTTAGTTGTTGTTTCAAGTTTGACCAAGAAACTGACGTTAAGGTTATTGCAGGAATAAATTGGTACCATCTTTTATTTCGTTGCCTTCTCGTCAGCTGCTTACAGGACTATTTGTGTGTGAGATTTCCTCCTTATCGGACGTCCCCTTCCTCTTCGTATCCACGAACATAAACTAGCCGTCAAAAGACACGACATCCACTCCCTTAAACCGCCTCACTGCATACAGACAACCACGGACATCAATTCGACTGGGACAACGTTCAAGAATACTAGAGAATTTTTAGAAGCCTGATATTCCAGATCAATGAAACAACCAGTTCCAATACAAGTAGCCTAGAAGGTGTGAAAACACAAAAACAACTAGTCACGCCCAAGGTCACCCACCGGGAGAGATGATTAATAAACTCGTGGAGAAATCTAAAAGCTCGCTTGCTCGAATTGAAGTATGCACTGAAGATGTTGCCTAGTAGTGCGATGAAAGCTTCGCAAATTAACTGTCCAGCTCACAGGAAACAACCACATAAAAACCTGCTTATCGTTTTTGGCAAAATCACTGCCTACTGCGTCTTCAATTGTTTCAGACTCAAAAACTACAGCAACATTCAGTTGTCTACAACTAACTGTCAATCGCTACAATCTTTAACATCACAAACTAATATAACTCTGACATCATATTATTGCTCCCTTTGGGTTCCGAATGGGAGATAGGACTTCAAGAAGCACATCACCATTTCAATCCTTTTTAGCTGGCTCCATATTGTATGCATCTCTTCCTCCTCACCACTCCTAGCTCTTTTCCTATCAAATTCTATGTCAGCTAACGTTGGCCGACAGAAAAGGCCATTAAGGGAATATAAACACTCCACACAACCGATAGGTAAACTAATAAATAATGCCTAACTATTATGTTTTCTACCAGGGGTTATTAATCATCCGAAAAACAAACCATTGTTTATTGTTTACACATAATTATTACCTACGATGTTGTGGATATCCTCCAGATATATGAACAACAAAAATATTTTTACTGTTTATAGCTTTTATTCACAGTCAAACAAATTACTTACTCTGTAACCACCTCTCATACAGACACGCATTCAAACACACACAAACACAGATACAAGAAAAGGATAATACACCACACCACACCACTACTACACAAGTGCATCTCTCTCTTCCATAGGTGTGTCTGCATATATATGCGCATACACACACAGTGTGCACAATTCAACAGACTGTACATATACTAGCACAATACAGTAATAAAATAATAAATGTTGACAGAGATAAGATGTGATAGGTGTGTACGCACGCACGCACGCATATAAGGTAGTAGGATAACGCAGAAGACACAATGAAGAAGTCCGTCTTGTAACATATTAATTAATATATGTATGTATATGTGGCCACAAATCTATGCACCGTCCAACGCCGAATTCTGTCCTCAATACATTATACAAACAGATAGAAATAAGAATGAATACTCCCCCCCGCCATAAGATGAATTCTCTCATTGTGATAGTTTGACAAGACATGCAGAAAAAGAAAAGGCAAAAGAAGGAGAGCCAGCAACAAGCTAGTCAGTCACTTGTGTTTGTTTGTGTGCGTGTAAATAGATAAAGAGAAAGAGAGAGAGAACAAGCACACACGCTTTACTTTAATTAAAGTACTATACTGTACTGTACTGCACTGCACTTGTCTTTGTCATAATAGATCATTATAATAAATAGTGGTAATAAACTGCTTCGAATAGTCAAGTTGTGTGAAAACAATTTAAAAAAATAGTCTACACACATTCAACATACACACTAAAGACAGTGAAATCAGACATAAAAAAGGGAGTAGGTATTTCTGTGGTTTTAAAAAAATTTAAATGCATACAACACTAGGATTTCTTTCACAGATTACAAAAACACACGCAAGGAAGGAGGGTGTACATGGAACAGAAGGAATAAACGCTGTTGACGACAACGACAACGACGTCAAAGAGTTCTTTCTTTTTTTTATGATTGATTAATCAACAGACTATTGCTATTTATGATTACACTCTCATCAAGTAGTATGCCTTTTGTTATCTGAACAAAGAACACGATGACTTAGATCTATGCAGAATAATAAAGATGAAACCAATCGATCTCCTCCCCCTCCGAAAGGAAGATTGGTATTACATATCACCGAGCGCCGGTCTAGAGTATACAACATCTAAATGGAAGGGTAGGAGAGAGAACACAAGAGAGGAAAAAACGTTATGAGAAATACAGGTAATCCTTTCGGTAACAAACTGAGAGTCATTGAAAACGACGAAGCAAGTGACACTCATTTCTCCCCAGTTCCCAATACATTAAACTTGCGGGTTAAGCCAGTTGACTGTTTAGTCACTGGGGTTAAAATGCTCTGACCAACGAATTCTAACTTTTGCAAATTGGCAACATTTATTGGACATTGAAAATAGTCAAAATTTCTTGTCAAAATGGGCACTAAATATCAGGTTAACTTGAGAAAATTCGCTACAAAATATGAGCAAACAGTAAGGCATATTTTGATTAAACACTTGGTTGTAGTAACTAATGTCATGCGTGTAGTACTTTGTTTGGTGCAGATTAGATTGTATCAGTCAAGTTTGCAATGTGGCCATCATACCAGGTGACTTGCCACCACGGTGGACTCTGAATTGTTCTTAGATAGCTTGAAGCAGTCGGCAAAAGGCCTTGGACCTGGTCCAAAAAGCTCAGTGTCGGAGTCTCTGACAGAAGAACTGGATTCGAACCCCAGAAGGGACACGAGTTCCTTCCAGAGTGTAGGTACACGTTGCTGACAAGATCCAAAAAGCAGGATACCTACGTAAAAGGCTTCCTGTCGATTGCCTCCGACCATCAGGGAGTGGCACATTTTGAAAGGTTACTTCGATATTCTTTTGCTGAGTGTCGACAACAGCTCACTATAATAATTTCTAAATAACCACACAGTTATACAGTAGTATTTATTGATGACGTTTCGAGTACAATTTATGGCTCATAATCATATCGAAGTACTCACATAACTTTCTTGTTTCGTTTATACACATGAGCTCGAAACGTCATCAGTAAATATTACCACATAACACTGTGTGACTTTATCAAAATAAAATTTTATCCATAATGGATTTATACTGTACCACAGTGACCAAGTTTCATCCTTATATCAATAACATGCATTACCCTTATAGACAACTTCATGCAACCGAGTGGGTAGACTTCGGTCTCCCTCTCGGAATACTCTCATGATCGCAGTCTTTGCCAGGTAAGTCCTATCCAGTTCCTGCAGACGAAAGTGAAGGGATGAATGCAAACACTGGCCACTTACAGCCAGACTGGTGGACATGCAGGTTTGTCTAAGGGAGCTGGAAAACCCTGATTCCAAATAAGTGGTGCACATATACATGGGATCCTGAATCCGGAAGGATTAAATGCCGTCTGGTTTTGTCTTAGTCACCGGGAATCATGGAGACATAGCTCCGGATGCTGCTTCACTGCCTCGTAAATCAGACTCCAAGTCAAAGGTTTGGAGGTAGCCCTTTAAGACAACCACCACCCGCCAGGGCAGTGTCCCAGTCCTTGTACAAATACTGGGATTTTGAATCAAGTCGTATTGTGTACTTTATATAGAATTAAAGCTGGCGAGTGAGTGAGAAAAATACTTATCGCCTCCACGAAAAATTATTCATTACCTATTGAGTTTATTTTGAATGCAGAGAAAGCCTGTAGTAATGATTAAGTGAGTAAATCCAAGATGGAGTGGATATGCACGCAAAAAAAATAATTGACGAAAGCTTAATATACAATAAATCGCCATATTTCAAAAACTATCCAACTTACCATTGGTCATTTGAGCAAATTGATTTTTTACGAAATTCTCCAATTGCTCTCCAGCTAGCCAAATATCCGAGTCAGCAGCATTATACAATTCAGCATTATAAAACAAAGTACCGAAATCTCCGGCCAATTTTTCTAATCCTTCAGATACATTCTCTGTAGTATACCGTCCTTCTGATAGCCATTCACGCATCATAGACAAGTCGACGGGATCAGTAATTATCTCATAATAGTCTGGCACCTAATTAACAATATATAATAAAATAATACAAGGTGAGTGGTAGGGGACAAGAAAGAATGAAGGTGGGAAAAAGTAAGAGTAAAACAGGAATGATAAACTTGGTACACATTCATCTCATGTCACTTATAATGCGCTAATTAAATAGCCTATTTGTCAGTATAAAAAGTTCGTGTCTATAGCAAGCGTCTACTGCTTACAGTCCAAGATCAAACTGTACATTATATTCAACTATAACGGAGAAGGATAAGACTGTCTTCTGAAAGAGAAACCAGTTGCATATTCAAGCTTGATCATAATTCTGTCATCAACATTAGTTGGGCTAAGCAAAAGCGATGTCAGACGATTTCAACGATGACGTGAAGAAGAGGTTCATTGACTTAAGTACTCAGTTTCTAGCCAAAGGGTGGTGGGTGGTTCAAGTCCCGACCTACCTACTTCAGCCTGGGTAACTGGGTAGCATAAGCAGACCTTATACGATAAGTGTGACTCAACCCTGGTACATGAAAAATCTGTTCTAGATAACTGAGCCTTAAGCAACCAAACAAAACATCCGACTTTCAGTCGCCTAGTCCTTCTCTATATGACCACATTCTTTTATTACATGCGTAAATACGGTAAATGTTATTCCAGCTTTAGAAGATTTAACACTTACTAGTGTTCAAAATATATAAAAAAGATATTCGAAAAATAAACACTTCTGACACAAAAATCCTTCGTCGACATTCCCGTTCAGGAGATAAATACTACGTAGATGCAACTGAATGTTATTCATAAGCCTACTTAATTAAGTCAGGTTAGTTAGTTTGTTAGTTAGAATGCAGTTACTCAGTACCTGACTATGTGTCACACTTATTTGTGTAACGGTTAACAACACTGTTAATACTCCTTTAGTCTAGACTGAAGTAGATGAAGTGAGGTTTGAACATTGGATGTATAGACTGAAAGTCGAGCGCTTAAGGCGATGAGCTAACACAAATGAAGTACGATGAACCACTTAAGTGTTGTCTGCCAAGGTCCCATGAAGAACTAGTACATAAGAAAATGTAAGCACAGTCATTAGACATTCAATGAGTCCGAAAGGTATTTCACATGCTTAAACCAGTTATTTAAAAGCAAACAATATACGAGTTAATTGACTAAAAGCAATTATGAGAAATGTACGGGAGAAAGAATAGTAACATGGAACAACATGAGGTCACAGGAAGTGATTGCATCTGAGCCATATAACAAACAGTCTCTAGCCATCGGTTCTCAGCAGCACATCGACGACTCTAGCTAGACAAGTAGTCTGCACCTTAAAATATGTCCCAAGTGAGCAGTGAAATGGATTGACGCCAACTTTTGACTCGATCATTATTAACCGTTTAGCCACCCTAATCTCATGTCAGCTGAAATCCCCTGAAGAGAAAGGAGTCTCATGAAGTGAACCTAGAGGTAAAATTTGAACGCGAAAACAACCTGAGACATCAAAGTAACCTTAGCAGAGAGAGACCTGTAAGTTGTACAATGTTGCCATTCACCTCCAAGAGAACAGGAACAATAACTGAACAATATGAACAGGAAACACGTACGATGTGAGGCCAAGAACGTGAATTAATAAAATGATGAGTTATGTAAGAGGTCTGATTTCAGAGAAACTCTGGGTAAAGTAATTTCAATGAATATAAAAGTAAGTTGGCTATAGAGAGAAACAATTTAAATAATGCATATTAAATAAAATATTACCTGACTTCTATCTACAGGTTTTCTGAATGGCCATGATTGTTTATGCTTAAATACAGCATCAAGAATTTGAGAACACAATGCCTGAGATGACTGTTCATCCATTTGTTCTGTTTCCGTAGTACTATCATCTTCTAGATCAGAAGAATTATGTCGTCGGCGTTTTGCGCGGTTTTTCAATTGTGAACTAAGTGCAGATGCAGACCGAGAAACACTTCGACGACGACGACGACGCGAAGTTGGCTGCTGACTATTGGAACGACTCTCCACATCCGATGAGGCTAAACTTGATCGTTGTTGGTCATCTGTATCAGAATTTGCAACACTTCTTTGGGATCTATTTCTAGTACGCATTGAACGGGTAGAATGCGAATTATTATTTACAAATTCATCATCATCACTGTGTTCCTCGGGACTGACAGTTCGCTTTTTAAAGTTGCTTTGATAGCTGAAACACGATGAGAATGAACAAATAATATTAAAATAACAGGATCATGCTTTCTACAGTTAAAACATGTAATGTGATAGGATAATAGAAGAACCTGAGTGACACATGAGGGGCAGAATATTGTGAACGTAAGTTCATTCACTTGAATAGGATGGTATCAACTGATTATTTTAATGGGAAAACAGTGAACTACAATAAGCATAACGAAAGTACTAACGTAAGCAGTCAACAGCAGGGAAAAAAAGTCATTGGTTAGATATATTCCATACAGAATAACTTGTAATAATATACATATCATAGTTAAAGTATTTGAGCAACAAACAGAAACATTTTTAAAACTTTGTCTTCGATTAATATATGTGTAAGACTTGGGTACTGTGGTAGTAAGTAATTCCATATTAGTTTGTTTATTAGATGTATCACACAGCCAGTGAAACAGTATTATTTACTGGATGACGTTTTGAACAAAATTTATTGCTCATAATCATTATCGTTAACAATAATAATGATAATACTAATATTAATGACGACACCAAAAATAAGTAATCTAAATCATCAGTAGTAATTCCGTACAAGGAAGGAACCTCGGAAGCCTTACACAGAATTCTTAACAAGGCAGGAATAAAAACGGCATTGAAACCCACAAACTCAATTAGAAACAAGCTTTGTCGGTCAAAGGATCCTCCTTGTAGAGCCTTTAAAACAAAACAATTTAGTTTATCTAATACCCTATCTGCAATAATTGTCAGGTCAAATGCATAGGTCAAACTAGTAGAACAGGGGCAGTCAGACTAGCTGAACATAAAAACTTAGCAAAATTTAGATTGGTTGACCCGAATGAGATAAGAAATCTAGAGAACAGTTCAGCTATAGCAGCACTAAATGCAGTTACACACAACCATACAATAGGATGGGATAGGATGACAGTTTTAAAATCTAATGTCACAGAGTATAGGGAGAGATTGATAACAGAAGCTTTGTTTATTGAATCAACTGCAAACACGTGTAATAGGAATGATTCATCACCTGCCCCCGATATCTAGAGAATTCTACTACCCCAATGACGACAAATAGGAGAGGACAAAGAAATCTATAAAACTCAAGTTTCAAAGCCGTGTGATTACAATTGATGGAATGATTGTGAACAATAAATTTTGTTCGAAATGTCATCCAGTAAATAATGCTGTTTCACTGTGTGATATATCTAATAAACAAACTGATATGGAATTTGTCTTCGATGTTCAGTTGCATACAAAAGAATGCCTTATTTCTTGTATTAGGTCTTAGAAGTCAATAAAACAACTGGGAAATCCATATTTTACAACAACACAATCATAAAATATTAATTAAAATTATTGTGAAAAGTGTCTAAAGGCACAATAATTTAAACAGTTTACAGTATTTATGTCACATTGTAGTCTAGTTTTGAAGTATATATTAAAAGCCGAAGTTTACTAAGACAAGGACAACAAGCAAACTTAACAACTCCGTACAAATTCTGTGAACAATACTCTACACTTTCCAGACAGAAATAAGTGACTGAATAAAGAATATTCTTTTCGATAACTTGTCCAACAGATTCTACAGTTAGATGTCGTCCATAACAAGTAAAGAATTATTGCTATTGACACGACCAATAGATTACAGTTCAAAAGCACCTACCCAGTAAGAGTGATAATATACACAAATAAAACGTGAGACTGAATATCAGGGAAATTAGGAACAATGACCTCCGCTGTTTGAGGTATTCAGTATCTAGGAGCGCCTTTGAAATCTATTTGATAACCAAAAGATGACAGAGAAAGACTCCTCAAGGCTGGCTATATTTCCCGACTGGACCACGTTATCTCTAATAGTGAACTGTTAATGCTCTTTACTACACCTTGTAGTGTGCTCTTTCTTTTGCAATGATAGGGAACGAACACACTTCAGCGACTCAGGGATTGACTTGCTACCAGGGAATAATCTCGTCGACTTAGAATATGCGGACGATATAGTCCTTCTAGGCGAGGACGCTGACAAAATGCAGTCTTCTGAACACCTTGAGCAACAATCTTCGTATGTTTGGCATGCGATTCGCCCTTGTAAAATGTAACATGATGCTGCAGGATTGGACTTCACCGACCCCTAGATTAGAAATAGGAAGTGAAGTGGTAGAGCACGTTGACCGCTTCACTTACTTGGGAAGTACCATCAGCCCCAACGGGTTGATCACCGACGAAACCTCAGCACGAATACAGAGGGCTAGGTTCGCATATGCCAGTTTACGCCGTCTCTGTCGTAGACGTGACATCCGACTATCGACCAAATGGCGTGTGTACTGCTCAACAGTCCGCTCCGTCCACCTTTATGGCTGTGAGACCTGGCCATTGAGAGTGGAAGACATGAAAAGCCTGGTTAGCTGTCTTCGATCATAGGTGTCTGCGTTCTATCTCCCGGGTGAAGTGGTATAATAAGGTGAGCAATATTGAGGTTAGGCGTCGAGTGCTAGGTAAGGCGGGGAAATCAGTCGACGAGACTGTGAAATTACATCGACTGAGATGGTTGGGACATGTGCTACGTATGCCTAGTCTTCCATCGCCTTCCTCGACAATGGGCAATGTTAGCTGACATAGGATGGATCAGGTTGGAAAAGAGCTAGCGGCAGTCAAACGAAAACATGGCATTAGTCAATGAAATCCACGACAGTTAGTCTAAGCCACGCAGGAAGATGTAGACTTCCTGACCAGTTGGGGTCCTCGGGACGGTAAAAACCAATGGCTGGAAACGATCGGTGACATGGCTCAAAATCGTTCTCAATGGCTGGCGCAAATGCATCCACTCCTTGTGACTTATGATTTCCAATGAAACTGTTTTGTTCTTCGTTATTACTATACCTTTGTCTCACACCTCTGTTTACTGTCTATATTATGCATTTCTTCTACCGTACTCTCTTGCTTTGTGTGCTACATGGAGTGTGGCGACTTGAACTGCCGCACATATGTGCAAAGTTCTAAGTCGAAAACCGACCGACCGACCGAGGGAACGAAGGTATTAACATGTGTATTGCTAATAACAATAATTCTTTAATAATTATGAGTATATATATATATGTATATATATATATATATATTTATATACATAATGATTACATACACTTTCTGGCGGTAATCTCTGCTTTGAAAATAAGACGTTATAACAGAACGCTTTTTGTTTAGCCGACAACTTGAACACTGCCAAGCATCTCCACGCGGGATATGATGTAGAGGAGGTTCATGACAGTCCAAATGAAATATATTTGGACAACCGGAACACGATACTAGATCACCGATTGTGTCTGAACAGACAAGACAAGATGTGTCATGTTTGATACTTTTTGAGGAAACTAAGGAAACAAAAGAGAAAAAAACAAAAATGAATTGATATTGAATACATAGATGATGGTTTATAAGTGTGAAAATCTATTTTTGAATGATTAAAATCTTACCTGGATGGCGACTCGATGGACTAACTGAGCGTTTTAAATGCGAGTCATTCCGAGATTTAGCTCGGCGAGGATTTCGACGTCTAGTCGTCCGGACGTCCTCGCTTTCAGCGCTACTATCCCGATCGTCGTCGGATTCGTTTTCCCCGTCATCATCATCAGAAGACCCAGCGCGTTTCCGACGTCTCGCAGATCTTGCCAGGCGTTCTTCACGTTTACGCTTCTCGAGAGCACGTGAGGCTGGTCGGCAGGTTGGGCAGAACCAGTCACCTGCTGGTACACGTTTCAGTGGTGGACGTAGACAGTAAAGATGGAAAGCGAGATTGCAGCCATCGCATAACAGTAGATTGTCATCATCAGTTTTACGACGACAGACGCGACAACGAGCATCTTCAACTGATTTCTCCCAACGAACACATGCATCCAGACATGCCTAGAAGAATAAAAAAGGACCACAGGTAATGAGGAAGTATTGTTCTGTAAAGCTCCGCATTACAAAAAATAATCGAAAAATGAAGATAATATCAATAACTCCTTGGATTTTTATTTGTTTAATATTCGGGAAAAGGAGTAATTGCTAACCGTGGAGGTTGGAGGTATTAGGCTATTTGCTTTATGGATTATTACATTGCTCTGCTATGAAGTACCGTCAGTTAATGAAAAAACGGATGATACTAAGCTCTAACTATTTGGCAGGAAGAAATGCTGAAATATCCAGGTGAACACTACGAAAGTTTAGAATAAATTCACTTTATAGATTACTATTACTTTTACTTACGCATCAAAATAGATACAAACTTAGCATTCCTATTGTTCGCATTATTCGAATGCATACGGTTTTGAAACAGATAATGCTTAGTTTTATGATTCTGAAGTTCAACTTACTTCATGTATACCTGATCCTCCTTAATGGCTGTGAGACATGGCCACTGAAAGTCGAAGACATGAAAAGCCTGAGTAGTTGTCTTTGATCATAGGTGCCTGCGTTCTATCTCCCGTGTGAAGCAGTATAATAGGGTGAATAATATTGAGGTTAGGCGTCGAGTACTAGATAAGGAGGGGAAATCAATCGATGAGGCTGTGAAGCTGCATCAATTGAGTGATATAGCTAGGACACGTGTTACGTATGCCTAGTCATCGCCTTCCTCGATGAGCACTGTTAGCTGGTATAAAATGGGATCAGGTCGGAAAAGAGCTAATGGTGGTCAAACCAAAACATGGAGTCAGTCAATGAAATCCACAACCGTTACTTTAAGCCAAGTAGGAAGGTGCAGAATTCCTGGTTAGGGTCCTCAGGACGGTAAAAACCAGTGGCTGGAGACAATTAGTGATATGGCTCAAAATCGTTCTCAATGTCTGGCACAGATGCATCCACCACTCTTTGTGACTTATAATACCAAATAAAACTATATTGTTCTTCGATATTACTATTCTTTTTGCCTTATATCTCTGTTTACTGTCTCTGTTTTGCATTTCGTTTTTACTTTCATCTCGCGTTGTGTGCTAAATGAAGTATAGCGACTCGAACTGCTGCCCATCAGTGCAAAGTTCTACGTTAAAGTCGGTCAGTCAGTCGTCACATTCACAACCCCTAACCTTTATCAATTTCATTATCAACTTACTGAATGGAGAACTTAATGGAACTAATATTTTAAAGGAAATTATACATTACCAGCCTCAAAGTGTATGAACTCAGTTCGCAGGAGAGGTAATTTATCTCCCAAACTGACATGGAGAGATGACGGTATCACCCCTGTTGCCCTGGGTAACACAGGCAAAGCGGGGATCCCACTGGCTAGAACTCCGTGGACAGACCGATAAGCCACATAATCAACAATTAACAGGTTAAAAAATTAACAGAAATGTGTGACAATTTCTGCAATCAATACATAAAGTAAAAACAACAATCTTTATGATAATTACATGTAAGAGATTTAAACGAGCCAGTGTACGAGCACTTTGAACTTCATTACGCCATACTGTTAACCAAGTACGCGTTCGTTGTTCATGAGCTTCAGGATCTAGAATAGCCTTTTCTAATTCCTGATCATTACTATCAGAAGAGTCAGATTCTTCGTCAGATGAATATTTGGTGACACGTGATAATATATGATCAGCCACTGGATTCTTGACATCTGTACTAGGATGATCTGAGGGATTTTGCATAGCATTATTCAGTTGTGATGATTTACTGGTTAAATCAGGTACATTTAAAAATCGTGGAATTATATGTTCAGCAACATCGATTAGTGCATTGACAAGTCCTTCTCTGTTAGGAGATACAATAGATTGATGACTGCATGTAGATGATGAAGTGGATTTCGATGTTAGATGTCCACTTAAATAATCATGTGGTAATCCATATGAAGTCTGCACTTGTGCCAAGCGTTCTTGCCACTCTGTGAAATCAGGGACACCACCCAGACCACCAGATCTTAAACGGACTTCAGTATCAAGAATGTTCTAAAAACAAAACACATAAGGGGTGGGGAAAAACAATTAAGAAAGATTTCTAGATTAAACAAATTAACAAATATATGCGGATGAAAACGTATCGAATATCGCATATGTTAGCCAAGACCAATGAGTGAGCTACAGCTTCACTGGTAGATCAAATGTGAACCATCAAAAATCATAAACAGCTGTCGTCATTCACTCGATACAGAAAATCAGATGGCTCACTGCGAAGAATAAGCAACCAGGAACTCAAGCAATGCAGCTAACCACCAGACAAAAATCTGCGGATTATTATTCAAATGCTGAGGAGACACACTGAAGTGAAATCATTACACGCCAAACAGATCATCATTCAGTGGATGCTGAATACGTAGCGACGAGTTGTGCATCTGAAGATGACATCGTCAAAGTCATGCATGAGTGTATGAAATGGAAGCTTGTGAGCGATCGTGCTCCCAGCTGAGGGCGATGACAAGGAGTCAATTGGAATAGACATGTGCTACTGAGGCTTTACATATTCCATTTAGAACGCACGAAATGAATAACATTAAATAAAATAAAGTAAACTATGAAATAAAGTAAAATTCACCTTCAATAGTGCCCCCGCCAAAGCAGCTCCAGCATTAAGATTACTGTAACAGAAATAAAAAAGAATAACATAACTAAGAGTCTACACAGGATAAGTAAGAATCAATTTCGGCTTAGATGAAAAAAAATGTTTTTTACGTTATGATGGACGATATTGAAGTCAGACATAGGCAATATATGTCCAAAACAAGTTCACTCTTAACAGTTTGAAAAAATTTGGGCATTGGGTATATGATATTTATTATAATAAAGATTATTTATATTCCCCAATGAATCAAAAACAAAACGATATTGTTTTTACTGACGTTTGGCTACTTAATGCTGCTAATCGCTTTATCAAAGTGTTATTAAACCAGAATTTACAAAATCTTATCTTATATATAACAACTTAATCATCGTTCATCAGCATGAGGTCATTTTTGCGTTGTCGAGTTGGCCAATTGGTAAAGATATCAAATCCAACAATCTACACACCTGGCTTTGTTAAGTGTATAAAATTAAAAAAGCAGCGTGTGTTTACATAATCAATTGCTCATGACATTCGTATTGATTTTGTCATTTAATGGGGGAGAAGGTACTGCAACAAGATCAAAATCTGTTTTAGTTCATCATTCTTATTCAAACAATTTGGATTCCATTTTATATGAATTGCTTCTGATAGTATACGTCCTTTGTGATTTCTGAAATGTTATTTCTGGGTTATTTTAATATTTCTCTCCTTCACGTTCCCTAGTGGAACATAGGGCTTCAAGCCAGTGGCTTGGAGTTTCTTTAGCGGTGTTTATTTTACAGGATGGGGTTGCTAGCCTCATGCCCAACCTTCCCTCTTCACCAGCATTATTTCTGGCTTAGTGAGGTAAAGGAGTGCGTCTTTGGCCAGGGATCGAACCCCAGACCATGTGCATGGTCGGCGGGCATCCTAACCACTATGCCACCGACGCACATTTTAATATTGGCATAGGCATTTTAAATAATAGTGTTAATAAAATATAGGATCAGAGATGTGGATTAATGGACAATAGTCGAGGTGATCGTAATAATAGTAACAACAAGGTGGCAGTGGTTAGGACTCCCGCCGACCATGCATATGGTCCGAGGTTCGATCCCCTGCCGACGCACACCCGATATCTATGGTCGGCCTGCAAAATTTGGGCTACCGATATCCGTGCTGAAAATTCCATACTTGTACTGAAAACACTGTGGTATCAAGCCGTAACCAAAATAATAAATAAAATAAATAAATAAAAACAAGGTATAAATTCATTCAAGTTTTTATATAATCTAGGCAACAGTGAGTATATAGGTAGAATGCGCATACTAGTGGGGGTAGAGGAGAAACTATTGTCACATGGCGATTAGACAAACCTGTCATCAATCCCTGAAATCTTCGACAGTTGTTGTGAGCCACCTAGGGAGGTTAACACTGAATCGTTGGGGTCCTCGGGATGCTGAGAACCAATGACTACTTAGTGATACGACTCAAAATCGTACTCAGTGGCTCAGACGTATTATATTCCTGTGATCCCCATATACATTGAAATACTATGATCTCAAATGCTACTTTTCTTTCTTTCTTTCTCTTTTTTGTCTACCTGTGTATGCTACGTGAATTGTGGTAACCTGAACTGGTGCAGTTCTGTGCAAAGTTTTATATTGAAACTCAGTCAGTTAGGCTTAAAGCAAAGGAAACCCATCACATTGAACTGCTTCCTTGTTGCATAGATAACCGATTTAATCGCAGAAAAATCAAAACTAATAATAATGACAGTGAATGACAAACAACTATCTGGAAAGGTCAAAACTAAGATAACTGACACTCACCGCTTCTGAGCAACACTACTTTTCACTGGATCTACTGAAGTCGCATTTGTGGTCATATCTTCTGATTTGACAGGATTTGTACCAGTACTACTACTACTACTAGGGGCACTTTTCCACCTTTGTTTAAGTGATTCTAAAAATCCATCTGTTAGCAGTTTGTTCTTTAACTGACATTCCCGAACACCATTTGACAATAAAGAGTTTGATAATGCATCCAATTGTTCTGGACGATCATAAAAATACCAACTGCTCCAAGAGCTGCATAATAGTGTCTCATTCTTCAACTGGTCATTATGTACACATAAATGAGCTGGTTCAGGAATTGCTTCATCATCTTGATCAGCTGAAAAGTGAAAAAAAAAAAATAAAAAATAGAATCAATTGGTCTTAAATGAAATATAATGCAGTTGATTTCACCCATCGTGCGTCGGTGGTATAGCGGTTAGGACGCTCGCCAACCATGCACATGGTCCGGGGTTCGATCGCCGGCCACAGATGCACTCCTTTACCTCGCTAAGCCAGAAATAATGCTGGTGAAGAGGAAAGGTTGGGCATGAGGCTAGCAGCCCCATCCTGCAAAATAAACACTGCTACAGAAACTTCAAGCCACTGGCTTGGAGCCCTATGTTCCACTGGGGAACGTGAAGGAAAAAAGAAAAAAAATTTCACCCATATCTGTTGACAATTTGATTAACAATAAATCGACATACCTTTCAATGGGTTAGTTGAATACATGATATCAGAGCAGGCCCAATTCGCTTCCAAGAATAAACGATCAGGAGAGCAATGGAAGTACCAGATACGACGATAATATCGATCATAACCAATAGGATTGACACGAAAAACGCATTTAGCCTCTGCAGAACGGGTGTCATAAAGTCGAGTGACTGCGTTGATCGCACGTTCCTCGGCCTGTTCCTGAGCCAACTCTAAACGTCGCTGACGTTCGAGATTTTCTTTTTCTTCTCTTTCTATAGCTGCTCGTGCAGCCATTATCCGTCGGCGTTTTACAATGGATGCCAAATCATCTGAAAAAAATAATAAAGATATAGCAAGATAGATCTTTATTAATCTGAAATCAGTGTAGATATCTGCTACACTAAGCAAAAAGAAGAATAAACTTTACTATGGAGAAAGAAAGTAATGACAGTATCTCATTCCTAGACGTCTTCATCGCAAAGAAAGAAGATGGCACACTAAGAAGGAGTACAGGTCAGTACACTCATTTTTTGAGTTTTGTACCTTTGAAACATAAACGTAACCTGGTAAAGTGTCTGGTTCATAGAGCCAGGTTAATCTGTTCAGACGACTGCCTCAATGAGGAGCTTAAGATTATTAGAGAATTACTTAGAAAAAATGGTTATCCAGATAAATTCATTGAGAAAAATATGAATTCAGCACCAAGGAGAGTCAGTATGGCAACAGTTCCGAAAAAACCAATGTTCATAAAACTGCAGTTCCTTGGTGACAACATCAGCAAAATAATAACACAGCGCTTGAAGAATGCAGTTAAAAGAGCTTACTATGCAGCAGAGGTACGTTGTCTCTTCACAACCACCCCTATTCTACGTTCGAAAATTAAGGATAAACTACCTAAATTTGCCTCTTCTATGTGTATCTACCAGTTTGACTGCAGTTGCGGAGCCAGCTACATTGGGCGTACAATTAGGCAGGTTCATCGTCGTATTTCCGAACATCATCCAACATGGTTAAGCAAGGGACAAACAAGATCTATTCGTAGTTCTATTTCAGCACACCTTGTAGATACTGAGCATAAGGTTGATGTTAATACTGCATTTAAAATTATTTATCGCATTCCGACTAATCTTAATTTTGCTCTACGAGTTCGTCTTCTACAGACAGCTGAAGCAATAGGAATCCACCTGAAGAAGCCAAGCTTATGTGTTCAGAAGAAATTTGTGCAGCCACTTTCCTTGCATTGGCCATCGTTACAAGAATGCATAAACAGGACTACGTCGCCCCCCTCCCCCTAAACCTTTAAAAGTATAAAAATTATAATTGTCTAAATTATTTTTTCTGACCACTTCATCTTTAATTACGCGTTATCCTTCTAAAATTAATTTATTCTAACCATTTCTACCTTTTAAATGTGTATTGATTTTCTTCGTTTATTATCAACCCACTGACGTTTTGACACTGACTAATTATTGTTAACAAACATATCAGTGCCACTTGATTGGTAAACTGTTGTGTATTGTAATAAAAATGCTACATATATTAGAATAGAGCCAGAGATGAGGATCTAATTGAAAAGTAAATATTTCTTCCCTCAATCTTTCTGTTTTCTAAAAAGAAGATTCGGATTTTCGACGCTAATGTCAAGTCAGTAACTTCTACGTGGTTCAGAGACTTGGTGTGCGTGTGTTATCAAAAGCATTTCCGACAGATAACTGCAGGCTTTCATCAATAGCTTCTTTTGCTCCGAAATGAACATCAGATGGCCTGCCAAGAAAGGATGAGCGACAAGGAAATCTGGCAACAAATCAACCAAGAATCTATCAACCAACAAATTCGTAAAAGAAAAATGGGGGTGGATTGAAGACACACTGAAAACATTGAGTGAGACCCGAATAGCAAATGAGTTGGGCATCCGACGATGACTTGGAGGAGATGAAGGCTTATGGTAGTCCTGGGACCAGCGGTAAGAGACTTCAGAGGACATAATGTAATGGCGACGACGCATGGCTGAAGTCTCTTGTTTCACATGGAACTCAGCGGTATAATAGTAATAATAACTATAATAACAGTGACAATAAAAATGATCAAAAATAAAGAATAATATGACATTCATTAGAAAACGACCTTATGTTATCAAACGCTTACTATCGAATTCAGAATTGTCCTTTTGCTCGGTTGTAGCAGAAGTCTCCACCTTTGATAGAGACTCGTCATTTTGATTCGTAGATGATGTACCGTTGACTTTGCCAGTTTCGACTGCATTATCTTTCTTGTCCTTCTTTCGTATATTCTTACCACGTAACACCTGAATCTTCTTTAGATATGCTTCAGTTGCTCGACGCTGACATGCCATAATATGATCATCAATAAGATCAAGGTCGAAAATCTTTTCAACAGCTGATTCTAAAGCTAATACACGGGCTTCCGGAAATAGTTCGTGCAGATCAGAGTTTGATAGGTGATGAACGAGTTGTATCACAGTACTCCGTTCAAATTGCTGTAAAACGTTTCATTTTGAAAAAAAACAATCATTATACATCAAAACGCACAACTGCTTAAGCATAGATATTTTGGAGAATATGAACCGTGTAATGCCATACATTATCGTGAATAACCTCGTCGAATATATATGAATTAAAAAGAGTAAGTGATCTTCGTCTTGCTTAGTGTAGTAAAATATGTACTGACTCGAGTCCTTTGATCCACGGTAAAAGTTGTGACGTAAAGCAAAAAAAACTAGTTCTAAAGTACCAAGGTAAAATGACCCATGGAACAATTGAAAATGTAGAAAATCAAAACAAGCGATTCAGCGAAGAGACTCTTTTCAACAACAAAATTTTTTTACGAGTTGATCACGGATTGATATCAGTTAGAGAACCATTGAAAACCAGGGAGTACTGGACAGCTGCTGTTTCATCCTAGTTTGGGAATCATTGCCAGTACGCACCCACGACCTTCCGGTTACAAGGCAAGCTGCTCGTATACCATTCAGCCGCTGGGACCCGATTCAATGGCTCATGAACATTAACTTCTACCAATTCGTGATTTAGCGCGACCTCAACCATTGTCGTAGGTGGGACATCCATCCACACACGTAACATCTAATTGGACCTCACTGGTCACGACTTCTCACTAGAACTCCAGGAAACTCCATCCTGTAGCAAGTCACTAGCGAGCATCAGATTAGCTAACCCTTACAAACCAAACTATAGAAAAAGTAATTTATTATATCCGATGAGGGAATTGAAACATGCATAAAATAATAATAGTATGAAATGTGATAATATGAGATGCAATGTTTGTGATGATAATCATAGTTAAATGTCAAGTGGGGAAACAATTAATGTCATATATAGAATAATTCATAGGATGTATAGAACTTGGAAGGAGTGTGCAATTATAGGATTAGTAGGCGAATCGAATAAAATAAAAGCGTTACGTAACATTGTGTGAAATTTGATAGCATAGAATTTAACGTTGCAAAACAGAATTGATTTAGAATGACAAGTGGAACGAGTGAATTAATAGTAATGGTAACAATTGACGTAATAAAGGAAGAGTGTACAAATTGAATAGACAAAACGAAAAAATTGGTAGGGCCAAATATGATTAGTGATTACCATACTTTAGCATGCAGGGATTAAGACCATGAAAGTTGAAGGGGTTGAACGAACTTTTTCTGTATACAGAGATCTGGCTTTTCTGTTTCGATAGCCAAAGCTTCAGCAATACAGATGAGTCGGGTACGTAGGGATTTGGGTAAATTACTCTTTGCTTTATAAATAACTTTAAAGGCGGAGGCTGTAGAGATAGGGTGATCAGTATTGACCAGATGTTCAATGATCGCGCTTCTTATTGCTCCACTTCCACCTCTTCGTAACCATGCAGGATAGTGTTCTTGCAACCCTCTTGGACAAAACTCAAGTCGAACGACCGATATACCTAGCTCCACACGAGCAGGTGAATTGATAAACGCACACATGTGGACGAAGCTTTATGAAAACGACTACTAAAAGTTGTCCATATACAACTTTGATGTAAGTTTTCGCCATCTACTTATGCCAATTGCTTGGTGCCTTTACCCACATCACGACACTAATACAGTCAGTGTGTATAAAAACTGACTGACTTTCAACATAGAACTTTGCAGAGAAGTGCAGCAGTTCAAATTGCCACAGTTCAAATGGTACACAAAGGTAGAAAAAAGAAATGTACGGGAGAAAGAATAGTAAAACGAAGAAACATGACCTAATGTGTCTGGGACATCAAAGGCAGTAAATATGTCTGCGCCATTCAAAACGATTTCGGACCATATCACCAATAGTCGCCAGCCACTGGTTCATAGCATCCTGATGACCCCAACTAGGCAGTCCACACCTCCCTGCTTGGCTCAAACCTACTGTTGAGGATTTCATGGATTGATGATAAGCTTTGATTTGACCACGCCTCATTATTTTCTAAGCTAATCCTCCGTCAACTAACACTGGTTGGTGAGGAGAGCGATAGCTTGGCATGCGTAACGTGTCAACCATCTAAATCGATATAGCCTAACCTCAGTGACTGATTTCTCTTCCTCACACCAAACTATACGACTGAATACGGAAGATGAAACACAAACATATGTGGTCAAAGAGAGTTAGTCTCTTCACGTCTTCCACTTTCAAAGACCATTTCTGGCAGCCATAAAAAAAGAAAGAACGAACAGCTGCGCAATGTACACATCCCTTCAATCGATAGTCTGATGTCACGTCAGTATAATGATTATGTCTGAGTCGGAATCTCTAGTTTCCTTTATTTGTCTTTCCTCCGGTCCTCAGATTATTATTTCAATTTTGTATATCGATTGTGCTTAGAAAAATGATTAGAATTTTGAAGACGTCTAAACTGTTGAAATAGGCAGTTTAATTTTGATGCAGTAAAAAACCTAATTCTCGAGAACATGATAGGTTCATCATAGCAAAACAGAACTGATGAAGGTAACAAGTTCTTAATTACACAGATGACATTGCAAACATGATTTTACCGAAAATAAACAATTAATCAATTAAGTAACAATAACAATGTAATTCTATACAAACTTACCTTAAGCTCTGTAACTGAATTATCGTGTTTTAAGAATTCCTCTGATTTAACCATAGAAGAATGATTCAATGGAACCTCATGCAGAAGTGTCAATCTGAGCAGTTCGGGTGCTGTATATGGTGTAACCGGGAATTTGGCAAGTTTTATACCCAATTCACGTTTTTTCTAAAATCAGAAATGTTGTTTTGCATGTTATAATCTATCACAAAAAATACTGGAAGATAGTAAATAAATACCTACGCAAGATCGAACGCTTTATTACATTTGCTACGGTTGTAGGTATTATTTTGTTTGAGTACACTTAGCAAAACATGGGCATAACAAGATGGGCCACACACAAATAATAAAACGGCAATATAGGGAAAGTAGAAATAGGATAATTGAGAAACAGCACCAAGGGAACAAGTAAGCATACCTATCAAGAACATTCAAAGGATGCTTTACCATTTCATGTTACTTTAGGGAAGAGAAGAGGAATAAAGCGCATTTTTTCGCCACTGTTAACAACTCCCCAACAAATCCGATAACGTTTCGAACCACTGGTTCGAATTATCTCATACACCCCGCTTAGGAAGTCGTTGTGCACCAACAGAAGCTAACCTAACACAATTATCCTTCATCTCACGTCCCTGCTTCGGTTGAGTACCCCTCTATTGATATAAGAATAGAATTTGTGCACTGTGGTACAGTATAATTTCAATCAACTTGATATGACTATGAGCAATAAATTGTGCTCGAAACGTCATCAGTAAATATTACTGTATAACACTGTGAGACATAATCAAAATAAATTTTACCCACAATGGAGTACCCCTCCACTTTCCCAACTCAGTGCCATGGCTACCAAACAGTGAACGACACAGGATCTTATGCGATGACATCCGTAGTTTATGTTAAAGCCATCGAAGCCGGTGCTCCGAGATAACAACGCTTGTTGAACGATGATCACTACCGTGTTCAGGCACCCCCAGGACCTTAGAATTACTCCCATGACAATGCCATCTTATACAAGCAATCCTACGGAGGCTGTGATGATCGGATATGCAGTCTTTGCACATCTTCAGCTCGGAGATCAGATTTTACAGGTGTAGAGCAAGGTTGAGAGCACCGAAGCTTTGTAAATCCGACCTTTGAAGTCCAGATTGAAGTTGCGACGGCTTCAAGCAGCTTTATACGCCATTTTCATGGTGACTTATAAGTGCAACCAATGTTTGTTTGTACCATTTGATGGTTAACAGCTCACCTTGAATCTAACTCGTTCTGATAACTAGCAGCGGTAGCAGGTGATAGCGGTTTATTTACGTCAACCTGTTGTGGGAGATGTTTACGGTAGTCAGCGAATCTCAAAACAAACCTGCCACACACACACACACACACCAAAGCCTGATCAAAATTCAGGCAAGTGCCACAGAAGGAGCGGTAGTTTTGTATACATCGATACTTAATAGCAATACGATCTATTTGAGCTTTACAAATAGTCACAAACTGACGAACACAATTTAAAACGAGTCAATAGGCTACATTAGTGAGCACATACCTTACCACGTGACTGAATGACTGATAGGCGATATTTTAAGGTACAACCAATGTACACACAGACGTATTCAAGTCTATCAAACACTCCTCCGTTGTAGTGGAATTAAATATAATTAAGAATAAATTTTTAACAGAACAAACTACAGTTACTTACGCTTAACTGTTCATCTTTCAAAACTAAGCGTAACAGAACACTCAGTGGACGAGCTAATGATCGATATGCACCAACTGTTGGTCTATTGGTTGTAATAGCATTAAGAAGACGTTTCAATCCAAGACGACGTAAGGCCTTGATGCATATTTTAGGAAGTGGAGCAGTTGACTCAATTAGCTCTGCTTCCTCTTCCTCTTCATCAGTATTGCCTTCATCATCGTCATCAGAATAACCAGGTTCGCCATAACCAGGTACCAGGGAGTCAACCGGAGAGCGAATGAAACTAGACACGGTAGTATTGTCAGCTGCATTATCTGCATCAGCATCATCCATAGATCCTTCAACAAGCAGGTTATGGAATATATGGAAAAATTCTGTTAATCCTAGTAAACGTCCAAAAAGGGATTCTGTAAAACCAGTAGGGAATTCAAGCTTAGAAGGTTCAGGTAAACAGGGACAGTGAGGTAGAGATTTTGTAAGTTGTAAATCATCAATTAACTTGTTGGCATGAATACGCTCCATTTTCCGTTTTTCTTTCATTTCTTGAAGTGCTTCCTTCCGCTGAGCTGGTGTCATAGCCATTCTAGAAATAAAAAAATTGTGAGGAAACGACGGTGAAAGTGGGTGTTTAAAATTTCTCAACACGTAAAAAGATATATTACCAGATGAATTCTTGGGATAAGGGATGTTTCAACAAATAAGTGAAATTTCATAAAACAAATATCTAGAACAATGAACCGTGAATCCACATCCATATATTAAGTTTCACAATGAAAAGAGCCAATGACCAGTAACTTTACAGATTCCCAGTGAGTGATGGTATTCCCGCTGAGACTCGAATAAATACAACACCCATCGTCTTAAGTACCACACTGTTATCTACTGAGCCACCTTTTGTGCAAAAGGTGCAGCGCTCGAGTCCCATTAGGAACACCACCATTCATTGGAGATGCAGTTACATCCAGACGACGAGACCCAGATAGGAGGAAATGCACATCCTGGATTCCACTGTTAGTCACCATCTCTACCAAAGAACTTTGTGCTCAAGATTTTTAATAACAGAATTACAGCTGTAACAGCACAACATCACAGTGATGAGTTACTGAGGAGAGTACAGAATAGAACTAAGCGTTGAGAAGCGAAAGCATGGCTCATTAATTTAAGCACTTGTTTGAACCCAATTAGCCAGAACATATCTTTTATGTACCAGGTTGGATGCTACATATATCGTGTGAGGGCAAACACATGATCCAATTACCCAGGTTGAAGTAAGTGGAGTAAGATTTGAACCCCTGACCCACTGGTTGTAAGCTGTCAGTGAGCCAAATCTCCACGCTTACGCACTTGACTATCAGACTAGTAGGAGGTTTCGGATACAAAGCCCAATTAACTCACTGTCAAACTCAGTTCAACGTTACTCAATAACCACTTGCAATCCCATGATATTGGTAATGAGCCACACATGTTGTTTGTTAAATCTCAATTATTCAAAACAGATTTATCATGTACCAGGCTGAAAGCCATATGAGGGCTGATGATACTACCTTGTTACCCAGGCTGAAGCAGATGGAGTGGGCCCCGAAACCTTGGTTGAAAACTGAGCGCTTAAGCCACTGAACCACATCACAACACACCTATATATACTACCTGGTGTTGCCCACACCTCGGTGCCTGGAGCGAGGTTTAAACCCGTGACCCACTTGGTTGAAAGTCGAACACATGGACACCAAAGAGCCCCAGTCAGACTGTCACCATAATCAGGCAATATAAGGCTCTCATTATCTCACACTTAACACACATGTACCGGGTAGTCTAACTGCATTAATTCTATAACTGTAAATCAAATGAAAACATACAATTTTTTTCTGAATGCGAACTCCTCTTTCTTTTCTCGAACAGGATCACGTAATTCAACTGGCAACTTCAGCAGATCAACATCAGTGATGAATTTTGCACAAACTTTTATTTGATTTTCAATCGCCGGATTATCTTTATTTTCTTCAAACATTTTTATAAGATGTTGAGCAACTCGAGGTAATACACTCTTTTTAGGACGATTGACAGTTGATGAGTCTGTAGCTTCATCCTTAGAAGCTTTTTTACCAAATTGAAACAAAGTGGCCTAAGAGAATGAAAAAAATTACACCAATGAATTAAAAGTTACAACGGTAAGGGAATATAATCTTGAGGCATAAATAATAAATAACTCATAAGTTAGAAAATGATATTATAAGAATGTGATACAAATTTGTCATTGATGTACAGCACTTCAGGCATAACGACAAACAGGTTAGTAACCACGTAGAAATCTCCACTGTAACGAAACCCAACGGCAAACGGAGCTATGTAGTCTAGCTGCTCAACGGCCACCAGCATTTCCGCGCAGTTGACAATGTGCTATGCCTATAGTATGATGGTTAATAGGTGAAGCGGAATTCGAGTGCATGACACAGTGGTTGAAATTTGCGTACCTAGACCTGTGGACCGTAGCTTCATATGCAGTCGAGTGCGAACAAAGTACAATACGGACAGAACTTGGAATTTAGTACAATAATTTACTAGTCATACTGAATAGAGCTTGCGTCTATGGTTCAGAGGTAGAATACTCGCAAGGCAATTACATGATCCAGATTTGATTCCCAGCCGACGCACTCCTAAACCATAATTAGCCGGTAGTAAAGACCAGAAAATGAGGACGGTTTGGGGTAAGGTAAATGGGGTAACAAACCACAAAAGAAAACAAGAAATTTCAAATGAAAGTTACAAGTATGAGAAGAAGGTATTCGAGTAAAACAGAGAATATGCCGTTTTTCCAATTCAACAGTTGATTTTTGAATAAGGTGAATCAACCTGTTACATTTAACGTTTAGTGGACTGGAACTAAGTCGACTAATAACCATGATTGAATTTACGAATGCTTATTACCAATCTACTCTCATTTTATCAGATGCTACTCATTCATATATGATGACTTGCATTTGATAAAATCAGTTACAATCCTATTCCTATTGACCTGTTGATCTGGCTAGCATATTGCAATGGGTTGAGGAACTACATAGGCAGCTCCTGTAATGCCATTAAGGTTGTTCGGATAAAGGTTAGAGCAAAAGCGTTATTCGTTTACACTGGGTTGGGTCTGGGGGAGAAGCCATAAAGCTAGCGATTAGGGGGTTAATCACAGCAAGACGTCTCCCTGAAACGACCAGAAAGCTATGCTGCCTCTCTCCGGAGAGAGGGAACTCTATGAAGGTGTGTACAAGAGGTAGGGACTTCATACAGACATTACCACAAAAGTCACTTCAAATTGATCGTATGTGACTGTCTTCAAGCAGTTATCCACTGGAATCTGCAATGATGTGACACAAATACTCTGTTTCAATGTTACCTACTTAATACACAATGCAGAGGATAGAGTAAGAATGTTCATTAAAACATCAAAAAATAAAATCACTAACTCAGTTGTTGATAAGCAGTGCTGAATTACTGACACAAAAATACAATGTGGATGTTTTAAGCAGTAAGCAATAAAAGATTTTACGTGTCAAAAACTACTGTAAACTGATATATTTAGCATGCAAATGTGATTTAGCTCTGACAACGATCGAAATGTGCATCAAGTCAGCAAAATATATAAAATTGAGGTGCACAGTCATCTGAAATATTTGGTTTTACGCACAATGGAGATGTACACCTCACATTTATTCATGTGGAAAATCTGTATTACACTTAGGCCTAAACGTAATATACCGGAAATGTGCGTCCTACGGCAAGCTAGACCTTCTGACACTATACCAAAATAGAACAATTGCCTTAGAACGGTTAAAATGGTACAATATAGACACACTTCGAGAAATTTCGAAAACATATGACACTAAATACATTGCAATAAAAAGAAAAGATTGTACTACAACAAACCTGTTTCATTTTCTTTTTACTCCCATCATCTGATGATTGTTTATTTTGACTGCGATCTTTTAACTGTGCTAATGGTAGGTCGTCTTCATTCTCCTCCTTTTGTCTACTGGTGCTGTCATCACGAAGTACAGAAAAGCGTTTGATACGTTTGAAATTAAGTGGTGTGCTAGTGGAGACATCCTCAGATGTACCCTCTCCATTGGCTTGACGTCGTAAATTCATAATGCGAATGAAATGCTCCTCCTCAAGGGTTTTTGACATTTGTTTCAACTATAGGAGTTAGAAGATCAAGAGGAAACTGAGGTATGATTTGACTTAGACAAATGCGTTAAGAATGATAATACATCTCTGAACGGAGTCCAAGCAGATCAATTCGTAAACATAGATGTGCATAAGCGTGATTGAAGTGAGTATTCACTGAATAATTGGATTATCGACGTAGAATTTTGCAGCGGTTTCGAGCCATGTCAGAAAGTTTAGAAAAACCACTGATTCTTAGCGACCACAGGACTTCAGCCAGACAATCTACACCTCCCTACTTGGCTACAACCAACAGTCATACTTTGAACTGGTGCCATGTTTTAGCATGACTGCACTTAACTCTACCAATACAGTCCTGTACCAGTTAACATTGCTTTACGAGAAAAGAGATGTTTAGGCATATGTAGCACGTGTTCTAGACATTTCTACTGATGCAGCTTTACTATCTCATCGACTGACTTTCCTTCCGTATCTAATACTCTAGACTGAACTGACCACGTTATATCATCTGACACGAGATCTAACGGAATTGTAGTCAAAAAACGGCTAGTCTATTCAGTGGTCGTCTCATAGCCTTAAAGTAGGACATAGCAAACTGTTATGCAGTACACATTTCCTGTGAACAACCGGATATCATGCCCAAGATAAAGATAATACAGATTGGTAAATGCCAAAATGTCGTCACCAAATGATGATGCGTAGCTCTAGCGGAAACTATTAGTAATATTTGCCCCCTGTGCTAGTTTAAGCAAATAACCTTTATTAGCACGATGCACTTTTTTCTATATTTTTTAAAAGTCGAATCCTGCAACTATATCTTTCTTTATCAGCAGAATCAGCTGTCGCGGGTGGGTGAAGAAGCTTGGAAATGATACAGTACACGTCATTTCTGTTTATGAATGCTAGGCTCCCGTGAGTATAACAAGGGTGTTTTTTTGATGAAGTGAGGTGACAAAATCATCTGATTGATTTGGAATTATTTCTTATTCCTACCAGCTAGCTAACGCCTTTCCTAATTTGATCCAGAACTCCGTACCGTTACCTTTGAAGAGTTGTTGGTGACAAATAGCCAACTCTTGTTGATCTAACCCACCATGAATTTAAGGCAGTGATATCAGCTTAATTGAAGCAAAGGATGGACTTCCTCATCCCATTTGGGTTGGTGATTCGTTGACTTTATACATAACCGCAAATTTAAACGTATGGATGAGAATGAACAGTGTATGAAAGGTAGTGAGAGAAAGAAGCCATACTGATTTTTTCACCATTAAGATACCAAATGTAGGAATTCAAACTGAAATTACCTTAACTTTATCAACTTGACATCCAGGGCTTTTCAAGGGTATCTTATGACGTCGTAGAAGCTCTTCGTTTACAATCCATGGACCCGTAAAATTTGGACCGTAACGCATAGCATGGCTGCGAATAAACATCCGAATGTGTTCTTTGGTGGGTGCGCGACTGACACGACTATACCAACGGTAATTAGAAATACGCATATCTTACTCTATTGAACAAGCTGGAATATCATGTACGACAACTGGGATGTCTGCAAGAACTTTAATACTGTATGCATAATCTTTCTAGGAACATATTTCAGGAAAATTAAATAAACTACTTTGACGGGTGAATTCTTTCTTGTAACATTTTCTTTATCACTGTTATTTGGTGAAGTATTATCTGGAACAGGTGGCTAAAAAAACAAATATAACTAACGGGATTTTAAACTTACTGGTACAGGTTGAGACTTAATTATATCATCGATGATTCCACGTATGCTAATGAAAAGTAAAGATTCAACTTGCTTGAACTTACGGTATACTGGAAGCTGAGTCAACTTTAAGTTTTACAGGTTCAGCGATATGAAACTGTTCATGTATCGCAGTCCAGCAACTGTGCACCAGAGATTCTAGAGGTAAAGTACCTTTAACAGAATTAAGTATGCAGTTAAATACACTTACTCAAATGAATACGCTCTAGAATAGTTTTCTCGAAAAATTTCGGGAAGCATTTTTTTAACGTCTTAATCGCGGTTGCCTCAGTTTTCAGTGCTTCACGGTAAGTTAGATTTGACTTTCCAGTAACACGACATGTCCATATACTTTCATTATAAATTGTACTTTTTCGTTGTAATTCTTCAGCAGATGTACAAATTTCTTGTGTTTCTGGAACAATAAATTCCGGCTTAGACTCAGGTTCTTCGGGTTGTTCTGAGTCACGAACTTTCTTTTTCCTCCAGATTGGATTCAGTACATGTGGCTTTGCACTGATAAGAGGCATCTAAAAAGTCAATCACAGAAACAATTATATAACACAAAAATAGTACTCAAATATAGTGACACAGACATTTAAGTACCTAGCAGTTTAAAAGTATATACTACTACAGTCATATGGTGATTAAATTCCTCCATTACAATGTACTGATCCCGCCAAAACTTATTCAGGAAACCATGCTGGATTCCTGTTGATTAATTACATAAACTTGATGGAGCAACAACAATTCTCCTGGGATATAACACCTGATACAGATTTGCACACTATGTAGTCTAGGTTTATAATACAGACTATCCAGGAAATGGATGTAAACATGAATGATCAACAATCAAAAATCCAAACTAATAAAACTACAACTGTATTCGAAACATGGCGGCAGTAATAGAAACATACAAGAACAAGCTCGTGGGACGTTCAAAATATAGATTTGGAGGTATAAAACAGCCTAAAATACACGACACAATACCCGTACCTGAGGAAGAATTAAACATTTAACGTCTTATTAAATAGGAATGTAACCAGAGTATTAAATATAACTAGTATCACGTTATTCCTAAGGGCATTTACACGAATGCATAACCAATTACTTACACATATACTGTAGAACCATCACTCTTGAGCTTTATTTAGTCATCATATGAATGAACACCACGATCATAGATACACTATTGGTCAAGGTAATGCTCCCATACTTGTAACATGACTTTTCCACTTTTTTATTAACTGGGGTGACCAACTATTTACACCGGTACGATTGGATTATCTATTCCTATACGGCAGCAAGTAATTTAATCTGGCAGAAAATTCATCACTATCCTTAAACCTCTTTGGGGTTAGATAATCAGGTCCTCCCCTATACTACATCTTTGACCTCTAAGACTACTAGGTACATTTCATTGAGGCTGGGGTAATGTGACAGTTGTGTAGTACACCTATAGGTCACTTGAACTGTTATACTAAACGTCCTGAACACCTACCTTCAGTTAGTGAATTTCCAATCATCTAAGAAGTAATTTCATTTACGAAAGGCTTAGTAAAGCCCCCTTCACCGATGATCCTAAACAGGTGGTGGGTATTACCTATCGCTTATGTCATCCACACAAAAATCACCCCATCATTGTTCACAGCGGCCGATATAAGAATAAAACTTACGCAGTGTGGTAGTGTAGCGCTATCACAATGAACTTGATGAAAGCACATATCGACAATGATCAGCTTATGGAGAAATGTCATCTGAAGCGATGATAACCAGTGGAAACCGTCAAGGATAGCCATTTTGTTTGATTTTACCATAGATGTACTAATGGATGAGACTCTGATCGACTTCGGCAACTTAGGGATTGAATTGTTACTAGGAGGGTGTCTTTGACTTAGACTACGAGCGTGATATTATGCTTCCGAGTGAAGACGCCGAAAAAATGCAGTCTTCCCAACATCTTGAGTGGAAACCTATAACGTTCAAAATGCGACAGGTACCTAACAACTGTGGAATCAATAAACGGACTGAACCGGCTCCCAGTTTAAAGATAGGCGATGAAGTAGTTGAGTATGCTGACTACTTCACTTATTTGGTAAGTTGTATTAGCCCTAAAAGATTGATTGCTGAAGAAATCCCGGCACCGATGCAAAGGCTTGGGAGATCTTGCAAACTTACGTCATCTTTGGTGTAGACGTGATATTCGGCTACCGGTCAGATGACGAGTGTACTGCATACCAGTTTTCCCAGTCGTTCATTGTGGACGTCGAAAGTGGGAGACTCTAAGGGGCTAGCTGCTTTTAACCATAGATGTTTGTAATCTAGCGCCCGTGTTGTGGAACAATGTGGTGAGTGGTGTTGAGTTTGGGCATCGAGTGTTAAGTAAGGAGGTTAAGTTAATCGATGAAGTTATGAAGCTGCATTGATTCAGATGGCTAAAGCACGTTACACATTTTAAGCCGCCGCCTTCCCATAAAAGCAATCTTAGTTGACATAGGCTTATGCTTGAAAACAGTGAGTGGTCAAATTAATATCTAGCGCTAATTTATCAAGTTCCTACTAGTTCTAGCTATTTACATGTAGAAAACCTGGTTGCAGTCCTCGAGGAGCTACGAACCAATAACTTGAGACTGTCAGTGATTTGGCTCAAAATCGTTCTTCGTAGTGCAGATATAGTCATTGTTGTGATCTTGGTGCATTAAATCTTCACTTAATAATTCTTCCTCATGTATGTATCCCTCCATCACATTACTCTGAAATCTCCCTCTACCACCTGTGAACCAAATGAGTATTCGATAGACTGCAAAGCTTACAGATTTTCACAAGTCCTCATTATAGCGCAATGTGGAACCACTTATCAAATGGCTAGTATACACATCGCAATACAACGATACTGAGAAGCAGACTTTAAACCTATAAAAATTCAAACCTAAGTTGGGTAAGAAAATTACTGAAAAGCCTAACGACCTCGCAATGCTCACAACAACCAGTGGTGCAAAAGTAACGCTTGCAGAAGCGGGCTATTTCGTCTAGATTGCCTTGATGTCTTGTGTGGAATGAGTCCCAAAAAAGCATGTTTAGGTGATTTAATGACTAGTAGATGGTGCATAGCACCACTTGTCCACAGAAACCAAAACAATGTCCTTCTACACAAGAAAAGCGAAAGACGACACACTTTAGAAACAACTATGCCGTTTCCACTGATGACTGGGCAAATGAAACCCTCTCAAGCTCACTTAGCCAACCTATATTATCAAAACGTTGAAGTAAAACCATAAACTCCAACTGAGCTCAGAGAGGTATATATGCGGTTCTGTGGTAGGGTGCCATGTCAGGAAAGCGCTTACACAATCGACAGAAAGCTTAGAACTTGGAAATAGAACAAGGTAGACAGAAACAAAGTTTGCTCAGTAAAACTCCATGCACCGAAAGAGTGCGATTACGCCAGTGACTTTGGGATGCTTAGTGTGCAAGTTAGTAGAACCAGGTAAATAACACTGTTGTCATGAATAAAAAGTGCCTAATGAAATGTCTTGAGACTGAGCGGGGTACCTAGTAGATTTTAGGTCAAGTCAGACTAATAATCAAGATATTAGGGTTGATTACAGTTAGACTAGGGCCAGTTTAGAGATGGTTCTGCTTTAGGGTTAAACAGATTAGGTTTAGGACTAGACAGATGAATACATGTCTAGAATGTGGTTTGATTACTCTATCGACACTTCAGTACAAAACTGAGAGGCATTTTCGTCACACATCGAAGAAAGGTATACTGTGCAACCGCTTCATGCTACTTTGCTCATTATTTCCATAAATGTATCTTAATGATTTTAGTCCCGTGAACCTTTCGAAATCCTATGTATGACAGTAGTGAAACATCTTAAACATACCTGTGAAATACTCAGTGCGTTACATGACTTTAACAAATCGACGGAGAGCCGTTAGAGCAAACACTCCCACTGGCTTTTTAAATTGGAAACTCGTTACCTGAGTTTGGTCGAAGTTACACCATGGCATTCATCTCGTTCGAACTTACAGCACACCTTGGACAGCTAGTCAGAATTAAACAGAAGTATCAAAAAATTACTACGAAATCCCAATGCCTTTAGGACACCAGTTATTCAGCCGAGTTTTTTCCCACGAACGCATGTCTTATTAACCCCAATTGACCTCTAACTCTATATGATTATCGGTGGTGACTGTATCCGAAGCGAGAATGATTCTCCACAGAGGTTCTACATATAGAAATTATGAGTATTCTTGGGGTTTTCAGAAGAAAATTAATGCAGAAATTAGGGGAAATGCAACAGTTTCCCTCAAAATGGCCTACACATTCTTTGCTTAGGTGTCTGTTACCAATACCCAGTCTAATTGCTTGGTATATTATTACTGACATCGAGAACTAAACAAACGCGCTGAGACTAGTAAACACCGACAGTATATACTACGCAGATAGCGAAAGCTAGTATTTCGGTGGGTAACCCAGCTAGCATTTCTTCGGGGCAAAAAACTTTGGGCGCATTGCCGTTCTTGAGTATTCGCCCCGAAGACTGCCCCCAAAAGTCTGCAATGCACCCGAAGTGCCCCAAAAAATCTGCAATGCCCCCTAGGTCTGCCCCAAAAAAATTGCTGGCTGGGAAGAGCAATATTTCCCAGCATTAATACGCTTAAAATCTTTTCCGCTTTGGAAGGCCTATATATCGTAGTAGCCAAACATATTCCTTTGTTGGAGACTGAATGATTAGTGGGGCGCTCCTCTTCAATAAGAAATTAAATACACTGCATCCGTGATCGAAAACATTGAAGTTTGCTACATCTAACTCAATAGTTATTTATATTTGTCGGTCAAGTACTTTCCTACTGAAAATATGAATAAATTCTGCGTAGTAACACCCAAAAATTGTAATAAGCAAATAAATCTGAAGTAACTATCCCCCCACAGCACACTACCTTCGGCAATACCCACAAAACGCATCAATTCATATTTGTTTAAATCGCTTGCCTGATTAAAACAAATTTGTCTTTATCAACTTGCTTTTTAGGGCCGTTTGTTAGGGTGAAAAAATAAAATATATTTTGGAATTTGTGATAAGAGTCAGTCGAATGCTCGTCTGTTATACTTAAAAACAATAAATGCGTGCTATCACTTCAAAAAAACTGTGAAGACAACGCCACATAGTCGATCAGTCACAAGCTGATGCTATCATGAGTGATAAGTGAGTTAGCACGCCTGAATCCTAATTAGACCAATCATATTACGATTAAGAGTTAGTCTGTATATCGCACCAATGCAGTGGTTCCTGTATGGAAGGCACAAGAAATTAACAATTTTCGAGACTGTCATTGCGTTTTTCGGTACCGCAGCTTTGTATTACGGTTTTTTCCCAAGTGTGCTACATTCTGTCGCATCTGCCCAAGTATCTGTTATTGTGTGATGACTGTATTTTCTTATATATCCATTTCCCGACCCATTTTACTTACTACCGAACTTAAAAGACCAATTGTTTTTAGTGAAAGTGTCACACGCCAACCC